TCTGATAAAAAGTGAACAGCACAAAACACTAAATATTCAAATAGTTGAACAAAATGTGGCTCAGGTCATCTATGATCTGGGGGCAGAAAAATCTTAGTACTCTAAATTATTCTAAAGTTCAATGTACATTAAAATTATCGAGAATTACCGTATTTTTTTTCACCACACTACTGGGCTGTTGATTTCATAGTGGACGAAACGCTTAAATAAAGGAGCTATTGCTCATTAAAAATTCCCTCCGTTTAAAGTATTTGGTAATCTGTAATTTGTCAATATACCATCAACTACAAAAACCTTTTTGTCAAATTTACAATCAACTTCAGAAACTTTTTTGTTGGCAGTTTTCATTGATTAATTTGTATGTATGTTTGTTTGAATATTTTAGTCAGTTGTGTTGCATGTCTGTGATGTATGTTTACATAATTTTGGCTGTTGAAGCTCAATTATTGTCACATTTAAATCAACCTGTTATATCTCTTTAGGTTGCTCACCCAAATTGCCAATCTAGCGGAACTATGAACAACTGTTATACGAGGTTTAGGTTTAGCTAGCTATAGAATCAGGTTTGGCCCAACGTTTCTTAGTAGGGTGACTATTCCGGGTCACGAATTTGGCAGTCGTTTATTACTCGTTCAGTTGGTTAATAACGTTTTATTTTGTCAGTTTTAGTGGACTTCCACTTTTTGAATTTACCTTGGAGTTCGGTTATTCTGTTTTTATTTTTTAAAGAGCAATGGATGTGATATCATTTCAGAAGAATTCTTCAGCAGATGTTGGGATGTATGACGATCACCACTTTTGAATTTGGAATAGATTGTTCAGTTCAGATAATTGACACTTTATTCGGTTGTTAGTCTTGTCTTAATACATGTAACTGTGATACATTTAGTCAACAGTAATAATGAATTGATGGAGAAGATACAAATCAAGGTAACAAACAAGACGGAGGTAATCTCATGAACTCAAAAAGGAGCGAGACCAGGTGTACTGTTGACAGGTTCAGATTCTCCTGCTTTGCATATACATCACCCACCATGGGAATTCATACTCAGTCACGATGTCATAATCGGGAATAGGACACGATCTTTTAATTGTGTATGGGGAATAGTAGTGTAAAGCGTAGAAACATAAAAAGTATTGATTTTTCATCCGGAAATTAAGATTGCTTAATTACTAATGAACGGTCTGACGGGTCAAGAACTATATACTGATCATTTGAACAAAAATAGAATATAATATGTTCAAAGTGCAAGTTCAAAAGCTTAATTTATAGACGAATATCAGTATACAGAAAACATAAGCTCTATTTAGCTTTTATATCGTCTTATTACAAACAAAACATTTAAAACATGCACGTTTAAAACAAAGCAAGCATACTACATACACAAGAGCTAAACAAAGCAAATCATTACACTGAAGCATACATATACAACATAAATGACATGAAGAAGTTAAATATGTTATACTATGCAGATATATTAAAAGTACCGAAAGCAATCAAAATTATAAGCATATGAAGCGCTTTAAAAACACATAAGCAAATGAATTATAGCACATTAAGCAGAAAAAGCACTAAAAATTAAAGCATTAATTATTTGCAGGCATTGCATTGGCATGAACAACCATTCCAGGTAAAAATAAGTTTAGAAAATTGGTTAAGATTGTTTTCTTCCCTCAAAGTCTGGGGTAGTTCATTCCAAAATTTTGCAGCTGTATTTCGAAAAGAATTGATGCCATAGCTTGTTGTTCTCACCTAGGGCTGTTCAACTGTTCTATATCTGAAGGAATATTTGTTATTTTTTATATTAATCAAATCATGTTAATATGATAGACTCTTTTTGTGTATTATTTTGAAAGTTTCTATAGCTATTGCTCGTAGTCTTCTGACTTTAAGAGATGGAAGTTTTGACTTGTGTAAAAGATCTTTATATGAGCTATCATAATCCTCATAAACAAAATTCAAGGCTCTCTCTTGGATTTTTTCCGGTTTTTTATTTCACTACAAAAATGCCAGGTGACTGGGCAAGAATTAAGATTAGACAAAATAAAAGAATAATAAATTGTTAGCCGACCAAGTCTATTCAGATATCTATCAATACGTTTAAGAACTTTAAGTTGACGAGAGGCCTTCTTACAAATCTTAGATATATGTTTATCATAATTTAATCTGTAGTCTAGTGTGACTCCCAGTAGCTTTACATCATTTTCACATTCTATTCTATTTCCTTTAAGATTAAAAACAATATTATGATTAATTGGTTTTTTTTGCCAATTGCCAGAGCTTGAAATTTATCTGGATTAGCTTTCATTAAATTGTAATCAAACCAGTCCAGCATTATGAGACTATCACTTTCTATTTTTTTTTATAACATTCTGTACAATATAACGAACTAACAATGAGCTTGAAATCAGGAAAATAAGAAATCTGTCTCATTATTTTGCTAATTATAAATGTTTTCAGGGGAAATATCAAATGACTTTTTACAGTGTCCTTATTTATAAACTGATCTGTGGCCGCTTCTTTAACTTAAATTCAACATTTTGATACAATTTTGTCGAACAAACTGTTGCACTGTTATAGTTTCTTACATGATTTTGTGAGGTAGACGAATCCGGCATCTCAATGATGACATTTACTATTTTAATGTTTAGGTGAAAAAATAGGTCATGTTTCTCTTCATAAAGTCATTGCTTTCGTTTGGGTTAAATTGGATTGATAACAGCTTAAGACTGAAAAATGCTTTTTTTCTGTAGTTAAGACACCCAAGCTTTTTAACTTTGTGAAGACATGAGTAAAATGTACATCAATTTTTCTCTTCAAAATAAAATTTTACCAAAGAATGAAAACATGCAAAGATTCTCATTTTTTTAAAAAATGCGCTATTTTGATATTGTAAAAATTCTTTTTATTTATACGAAAATTTTGTGAAAAGTAAGAATTGGCAAATCGAACCTTTCATACCTTTTTTCATTAATGAATATAACACGGACTCGTCCAATGTCCAATTTGTTGCTCATTTAAATTTACTTTACAAATGTGTGTACGAAGAAATGAAATTTATATATGAACATATTTTCAATAACAAGTTTTTCGGATACAGGATATGTCTATATTTAAGGACTAAATTATCCAGATTAGGAACTTCCAAAGAAGTTTAAATTCTGACTTATTCAATGTAAGAACATTGTTTTTATCATATGGATATATAGAATTAATAGATACATTTGGTGAACTTGAATTTTAGCATAAATGAAAGACTGAAACATAAAGACAATTCATGACTTTAACTGTTTATCCACAAATAAGAGTATTTCATAGTTTCACCACTGTCTATATAAACGAAATTGCACGCTTTGACAGCGACATAATATACGCAGACAAATAGACAGGGAAACATGTCAAGGTTTAAGCAATAAAACAAGCATTCTGTGAGTATTGCATGGCAATACATAGTCCCCTACCGGTTAAAAATTCATTGTATTGGAACAAAATTCTAACTTGATCTATAACTTGTCATGGTGTTAACTATTTAACAAATATCAAGTCAATTTTCTAAGTCCAAGGACCATAACTCTGCACTAAATCATCAGACCGGAACAACATTTGAACTTGATCTGTAACTTGTCATGATAAAACTATATACCAATCATTAAATTTATATCTTCTAGCATGACGAAAAAAAAGTGCGGAAACTGATTATTTGAGTGAATTTTCCAAGTCCAAGGACCATAACTCTGCACAAAATCATCAGACCGGAACAAAATTCAAACTTGAACTGTAACTTGTCATGATAAAATTTATACCAATTATCAAATCAATATCTTCAAGAATGACCACAAAAGGTGCGGAAAACTGATTATTTGAGTGAATTTTCTTTGTCAAAGGACCATAACTCTGCACAAAAATCATCAGACCGGAACAAAATTCGAACTTGATCTGTAACTTGTCATGATCAAACAATAGATCAAATATCAAATAAATATCTTCAAGCATGATGAAAAAAAGTGTGGAAAACTGATTTGCCGGACTGACAGATGGACAGACAGACAGACAAACGGACGGAGTGCAAACCTAAATTCCCCTTCGACTTCGTCGTTAGGGGACTAATAACTACATCTAATCGAATTGCGTAAGATTCAATGACAAAGACCAGTCCATATCAAAATACGTGTTAGGGGTAAAGGGGGTAGGGGGAACACTAGATTTTTTATGCCAATTTCTTGCAAATACTATAAAACAACAATCAACCATTTTTTTTGCTAGAATTAAAAAACTTATATATGTCTTTATTGGCATATTTTGTTTTTCTCTTATTAGCGTATTTAAAGCAATAAAAATTTGGGCTTCAAAAGGTAAACAAAGTTATTAGCTTTATACAGAAAATTCGCCTTATCTAACCTTTATTCTATCAACACATAAAAACAGATATATAGCAAAATCATTTCTTAAAATACTGCAAATAATTTATTGGTACATGTATTATCATCAAGTGCGTTTAAGTGAGACATAGTATGGCAAACACCAAACCCCCTCACAAAATCTTACCTATACTATAACATGGTTATAAACGTTTGTTATATTATTCCTGGGTCGGAAAGCTTGCTGATGTACGGTACCCAGCCAATGTTTCAGTACATCCATTATTTTAATTGATATCAGAGAGCCGAAGGATACCCACGAGGAAATCAAGCTCACAAGTCTAAAACGAACTGCATGACAATGCCATGAAAAAAACAATGTTAAGACCAAAAGACAAACAAAAGCAAATAAAACGCAACATAGAAAACAAAATACTTAGGAACATGAACCCCCCAAAGAATTGGGGTGATCTCACATACTCTGGAAGGGTAAGCAGATCCTGCTGCACATGCGACACTCTTCGTGTTACTCCTATAAACACGTTGATAATTTATATCAAGAGATTAGGCATCACACAATATTTGACCATTATCTAACCCTTAGATAATTTAAAATTTACAATTTATTCATACCCACGATTATCTAGTATATACGTTACAAACGTCTGAAACAGGTAAGCTCATTTTCATGATCTTAAGTTTTGCATTTCATTATCTTCACGGTCATTGTTATAATCAGGATATACCCTACATAAGTAAAAATCACGACTTATGGAAGGTATTTGACACCCCCGATATATGAGGTTTATGATGTTATAGTGTATCAGTGAAAATGCAAACAACTGAGAAAAATTAACCAGGTCAACCGGATCGTAACTGTTATCCATTATTAATTTTTGGGATAATAAAAATGTAACTTGATAATGACAACACACTTTGTAAAAATATATTACTAAGTTATTATTTTATTTATTTAAACGTTTAGGAGATTCCCGTTTGAAAAGTGTGAAATTGCAGAGGTTCGTATCTTTTCGAAATAGTAAAAAATCGGGCTTCATGCATGTTATATAAACTTACATATGACCGTGTACTCATCTAACACGTAGATTCTTATAACACACAAAATTTTGCAACTGGAAGAATTTTAAGTCATGACTCTACCTAGATATGTGATGTTGAAGAAATTCTTGGATTTTGATGTGCATTTTGTTTTCGATTGTACTAAATGTGTCACAATATACTTATTGCCGTTCACAAAAACATATCTACACCTGTTGTTTAAGTATAAGTTGAGGAAATACATGGTGTGAAGGTCTTAAGTCGATGAAGAATATATTGATCAAGGTAAACAAAAACTGTGGGATTCGCGTAAATTCCCGGGTGCGTCAACAGGGTAAATCATGCAAGAACGCAACTGCACATTACATAAATTTGCAAGACCAAATCCTGCTCAAGTATAATGATACATATACAAATAAATATAGTGTGTATTTTGTGCATATGAGTGCAAAATACAAAAATATAACATAATCTTTTTTATACACTATAAGCCAAGAAGTATATCTGTATATAGCTCTTGACCCGTCAGACCGTTCATTAGTAATTACATAATCTTATTTTACGGATGATAAATCAATACTTCTTATGTTTCTACACTTTACACTACAATTAAACAATCGTGTCCTATCCCCGATTATGACATCGTGACTTAGTCTGAATTCCCATGATGGATGATGTATACAAAGCAGAAGACGCTCCTATAGGAGTTCATGCGACTACCTCCGTTTTGTTTCGTATGTTTCTCTGTCCTATAATTTCTCCCATTTATTTGTATTGTAGTCTTGTCATGTAATGTTGTCATTTTAATGTTATATTTAACATTGATATAAAAGCGGGAGGTTTGGCTAGCCACAAAACCAGGTTCAACCCACCATTTCCTTCTTAAAATGTCCTGTACCAAGTCAGGAAAATGGCCATTGTTATATTATAGTTCGTTTCTGTGTGTGTTACATTTTAACGTGTGTTTCTGTTGTGTCGTAGTTCTCCTCTTATATTTGATGTGTTTCCCTCAGTTTTAGTTTGTAACCCGGATTTGTTTTTTTCTCAATCGATTTATGAATTTCGAACAGCGGTATACTACTATTGCCTTTATTTGTATGTTACCTTGTTTTGTATCTTCTTCATCAATTTATATACTACAAACTATGAAATTCACTATGTTTTATAAGAAAAACAGTTGAAGTTTTATTGTATATTAATAAAAATGTGGAATTAGCTACACTTTGTTTCTTCACGAGTAAAAGGTGAAAAGCTGTCAATGTAGTTTACCAAAACAAAACTGACAGTACCAACAAATCCTCTATTGTGGATAGATTTCCATTGACAAATTTCAAATATCTCCTAAAGAACAGAAAATAAAAACACCAATTTTAATGCTATTATATAATTTAAAGAATTTGGAGATGATAGTAGATCTTTGCTAGTGGAATTTGATGCGACTGTCATACAAGTGAGAGGTTTAGCTAGCTATAAATAAAGACAACAGTAGTATACCGCTGTTCGAAACTCATAAATCGATAGAGATAAAAACAAAGGCAGATGAGAGATACCAAAGGAAAATGTTATTTTAGAACATGAGATCTTTTCAAAATATGTTTATTTATTATTCTTGTAATGGTAAGATTGCGTTCCCATTAACGTGTAATTGTAGCTGTTATCATTCACAGGCTTGTTACGGCTGAATTCAAGGAGGACAAAACTCAAGATAAAATAGATTCAATTGAGCTTGTTTGTTGATTAACGGATACAATAAGATGCCAAAAGCAATAATCCATACCAACCTGAAAGATAAAGACGTTCCAGAGGGGTTTGAACTCCGAGTCACACAAAAGATGGGAGAGGTGTTTGAATTTCCTATAGAGGTATATTTGACATCCGTAGAAATAATTAGATATATTTTATATCTAAGATAACAGTTTTTGATCAAACATGCTCAAAAGTACAATCTAATAAAGAATACAATATGACATTAATCAGATGTTTACTAAAAGAGAGACAAAAGATAACAAACTGATAATGCCATGGCAAAAAAAAAAACAACGAAAAGACAAACAAAAGTTAACAAAACACAACATAGAAAACTAAAGACTGAGCAACACGAACCCCAACAAAACCCGGGGGTGCTTTTAGGTGCTCCGGAAGGGTAAGCAGATCCTGCTCCACACGTGACACCTGTCCTGTTGCTCATGTAAATATAAACCCGGTGATAAGTCTTATTCGGTAGATCACTTTCGAGGAAAAGAGGACGGGATTGTGGTTTTGACAATTTGAACATATCCTTCGTCATCTATGAAACAGATATTCCATCACGATCAACCAACTAGTGATGGCGTCCGTAAAATTTGGGAAGGGATGTTTTAAACCTCACCACTTAGTTGATTGTTGGTTTCTGAACGACATGTGACAAACATTTCATGCATGTTCAGGACGTGAACAAATTAACAATACATACAATAGGAAGGTTCTATAATAGTGCTCCTCCGGGATGAAGATCGGGAAAATTTGGAATGCCACTGGATAATGAGGGTTCATTGGAAAGGAATAGAATTTTGCCTTGCAACATGCCACCTAAGGACCCTTCAAAGAGTTGTTGCAGGGGTATTTAACATGCAAATAGCGTGACACTCTCTTTACACAAGGCATCAGATTTAAGGTCCCCATTCTGAATGGACGTGGCTTCGTACTTAGAACTCTTGGTTCATTAGCTTCCTTGTAGGCAGCAACCCTATATCAAGGAAATCATGATTGGAAATGCAAGCTCTGGAAAATAGTATCAAAGGAGAGATATATTCGCCATATACAGGCGCTAATGATTCCATCATTTCAATTAAGAGACAACGATCATACGATGTTTAAAACTAATGTTTTATATCCAAAATAAAACACTAAATCCTGACTGTGCATATAGGTAAACATTTCAACTAAAGAAGAAATACTGGATTGTTCTTCACTTTACTGGATACCCAAAATGTCGATCTAATCATTACATAAGTGTCCTTACAAATAAAGTGATATTGCTGGGTCTGCAAAATGACCCATGAAGCCTTTCAAAATAATTAACATCTACTTTATTAGTAACCAGAATCGAACTTCTGAGTTACTAAAAAACCTATCAACTCTAGGATGTCACATGCTGACCAGGAGCTGCTCTCTCTTCACATGATTTCGTTATCAGTTTTTGGTGTGGTTTGTGTCGATCAGCTTTAAGTTCCTTTGTTTTTTTTTTGTTTTTTGTTTTTGTCATGGGGTTGTCAGATTTACATCGATTTATGAGTGTTAATGTCCGCCTCTTTACACCTACTCTAGGAAGGGTATGAATCGGACAAGGATACTACCTGTTGGATAATACAAAAAATCCAGGGTTGTTTTATGGTAAGCATCATTATATTAAACATTAGTTATAATTATAGCTTTATAGGATACTAAAAATGTAAACGATCTGTTAGAGCAATTGCAATCTAAGTCCATCGCCGCTTTTAGTAGTATATAGTAAAAAATTTGACTTCTCTAATCTATACATAATTATTCCTCATTTAAGTATAAAAAACACGCCGATTTAACTAAGGATTCGCTGAATCTGAGATCATCAAGATGCTGTTTTTTTTTTTCAATTTTTGGAGGACGTGTTTAACAACAGACAATCAGCGTTCTTATTGGCACCAACTGTGACTATGCTTTCCGAATTATTCCGTTATTCTTAATGCATACAGGAGGTTCTTAAGAAAAAAGAAAAGAAGCTTGCATCATTTTTTTTATTTCAAGTTCAGCTATACAGATAGTGTCCTTTCACTGAATAATTCAAAGTCTGGGGACTTAGTTGACTGCGTCTATCACAATGAAATTTGAATAAACGATTCCTCAGAAACAGTTATAACAGCTGCCTCATATCTCGACTTACATCTATAATAAATTGACAATGACTGTCGGTTGAGAACTAAACTTGACGACAAAAGGGATGATTTAAATTTTTCCATTGTGAAATTTCTATTTTCCCGTAGCATATGGAATATATATCCTTCAGTCGAATTGAACTCATTCCTTCAAAAGTTTTAGAAACGCCATCATTATATGGTTAACTGATATGGGATATTTGTGTCACATATTACCACAGATATGTTCTAAGTGTTTCCTATCATGATTTCCTTGATAGAGGATTGCTGCTCACAAGGAAGCTATTAAACCAAGAGTTCCAAATGGGGAATTTGAAATCATCCCTTCGTAAATTTTACGGGCGCCATCACGAGTTGGTTGACCGTTATGGAATAACCGTTTCACAGATGATATCGGATATGTTCCTTATGTCGTAACTACAATACCCTTCCCTTTTCACGAATGTGACCTACCGAATTAGACTAATTACCGGATTTGTAATAACATAAGCAACACGACGGGTTTTACATGTGGAGCAGGATCTGCTTACCCTTCCGGAGCACCTGATATCAACCCCAGTTTTTGGTGGGGTTCGTGTTGCTTAGCCTTTAGTTTCTATGTTGTGTCATCTGAACTATTATTTGTCTGTTTGTCTTTTTATTTTTGGCCATGGCGTTGTCAGTTTGTTTTCGATCTATGAGTTTGACTGTCCCTCTGGTATCTCTTGTCCCTCTTCTAGTTGTCGTAACTGTAATTCCCTCATCTTTTCTTCGATTGTGACATTACCGAATGCGACTTAGTACCTATTTTATCTTGCAATGAGCTACACGACGGTTGCCACTAGTGGAACAGTTACTGATTACCCTTTCAAAGCACCCGAGATTACCCCCGGCTTTTAAAAGGGTTCGTGTTGCTCAATCTTTAGTTCCTGTGTAGTGTATTATTATTTTTATATGACGAAGATCATGATTTTACTTCCTGGAACCCCTGGCACAATAAATCACCGATCTACCAACTAAGGAAAACGAGTACTCAACTAGCACAGCTAATGGAGGGCGGTTATATATCCACAAGTAAGGGGAAGCATCGGTAAACTCCCTCAATAGTTATTTTACTATAATGTAATTTTACACATCATTCATCCTGGCTAGGTATCACTGGTTTTAGCGTAGTTTTTGTTTAGTTTAGCGCCAATTTTTTAACCGAAGAGCATGATTTTGCTTTCAAAATTAAAACTGATACAGCCAAAATTTGATCTCGGCAACCATGGCGCAGTAAGCCATCAATCTACCAACTGAGTTAAAGGAGTGATCCACTAGCCCATCTAATGGAGGGCTGTTATATATAAACGGAACGCACTTCTGCCATTCCAAATTACCAGCCTTGTATGTTTGATGAGTTTTACCACCACTAGGTGGATGCCACTGCTAATGGCCGTTTTATTTCCGAAGGTCTCATCAGCCCAGTAGTCAGCATATTTGTGTTAATACGAAATATCATTGATTTGTTCATAGTCATGTAAATTTACTGTTTATAGAATGTTGAATTATTCGAAACACTCAGGGTTTTCTTCCCCAGGCAAAGATCGCCGTAGACGTTTGTAGCACAAGTTTTATGAATTTAGGATTTCAAATGCCATTCATCTTCGTATATGATTGAAAATTCCAATTGATACTGATGATTCTTATGTAGGCGAAATGCGCGTCTAGCGCACCAAATTACTAGCTTTGAAGAGTTTTTATGTGTCTACTAAGTATAGAGAAGCACCACTACAATTTTCAGTCCTTTCGTTGTTTGTCCTATTGGTTATTGTGTTGACTGCTATAGTCCTTTCGTTGTTTGTCCTATTGGTTATTGTGTTGACTGCTATAGTCCTTTCGTTGTTTGTCCTATTGGTTATTGTGTTGACTGCTATAGTCCTTTCGTTATTTGTCCTATTGGTTATTGTGTTGACTGCTATAGTCCTTTCGTTGTTTGTCCTATTGGTTATTGTGTTGACTGCTATAGTCCTTTCGTTGTTTGTCCTATTGGTTATTGTGTTGACTGCTATAGTCCTTTCGTTGTTTGTCCTATTGGTTATTGTGTTGACTGCTATAGTCCTTTCGTTGTTTGTCCTATTGGTTATTGTGTTGACTGCTATAGTCCTTTCGTTGTTTTTCCTGTTGGTTATTGTGTTGACTGCTATAGTCCTTTCGTTGTTTGTCCTATTGGTTATTGTGTTGACTGCTATAGTCCTTTCGTTGTTTGTCCTATTGGTTATTGTGTTGACTGCTATAGTCCTTTCGTTGTTTGTCCTATTGGTTATTGCGCTGACTGCTATAGTCCTTTCGTTATTTGTCCTATTGGTTATTGTGTTGACTGCTATAGTCCTTTCGTTGTTTGTCCTATTGGTTATTGTGTTGACTGCTATAGTCCTTTCGTTGTTTTTCCTGTTGGTTATTGTGTTGACTGCTATAGTCCTTTCATTGTTTGTCCTATTGGTTATTGTGTTGACTGCTATAGTCCTTTCGTTATTTGTCCTATTGGTTATTGTGTTGACTGCTATAGTCCTTTCGTTGTTTGTCCTATTGGTTATTGTGTTGACTGCTATAGTCCTTTCGTTGTTTGTCCTATTGGTTATTGTGTTGACTGCTATAGTCCTTTCGTTGTTTTTCCTATTGGTTATTGTGTTGACTGCTTTTATTGATTTTGTATTGCCCGCTTGGTATCTTCTCTCACTTCCGTTTAATTATTAAATTGTTTTTAATGTTAGTTTTAAAGGCTTATAAAGACGAAGTTCAAAAGATTGTCAAGTTTGATTTCTCATCATACCACCATGGAATGTTATACTTTTCATGAAACATTTTCCACTTACTATCTATCATGAATAAAGAAAGGCAACAGTAGTATACCGCTGTTCGAAACTCATAAATCGATAGAGACAAAAACAAATCCGGGTTACAAATTAAAACTGAGGGAAACGCATCAAATGTAAGAATAACAATATTAATGTGAATGGAAACGGGGAACGTGACAAAGAGACAATAACCCGACCATAGAGCATAAAACAGCCACCAATGGGTATTCAACAGAGCGAGAAAATCCCGCACCAGGAGTCAGGCTTCAGCTTGCCCGTAAACAAAAATGTTTATATGAAGTATATCTTCTTACAGAAATCTATTTGAATCATATAATCGACTTCTTTCCTTCAGGTTATCTACGTTACCTTGACAACTGGAGATCGAATGAGTCATAATGGAAGTAGTGACCCAATGGTATTCGTTGACATGGTTACAGTGAATAAGTTCAGCGAAGAAAACAATCCTAGTTACTCCCGCCAGTTTATGAAGTTCTTTAGTGATGAACTCAAAATTCCTCTGCACAGGTATTGTTGAAAGAGCTATTTTCATCAATCTACTGATAACGCTATATTCCGTAAATCGGATCATCAACACGACCAAATGTAAAGAGTGTTTCTAAAATGAGCTGATATTTGTTATCTAAAACATTGCATGGGTAACTAAAAAAAACAAAACGCCAAATCCTAATTATACTTTAATTACGAGTAACTTTAGTAGAACAAAAAAAAACCTTTATAATTAGTACTTATAATCAAATTGTATTATTTTTTACTCATCTTTTGTTTCCAGACTGTATTTTTATTTTTCTAGAGTTTTAATTCAGTACCACGATTCACAAATGGAAGACTTTGGATGTAAGAGACAGTCACCAGAGTATAAAGATGAGAGATATTTTCTTGACAACTCTAGATAATAACTATCAAACTAAGCTTTTTTGTTGAGATGAAATATTTATATGAATAAAAGGAGATCTTCAGTATGACAGCAATCCAACAACAAGTACACAAATAAACAAATAAACAAACGATTCAGACAAGTATTAATATATAACACCAAGATTAAAACCGTTCAAAGTCAATACAAATTGTGAATTGAATCTATCTGCTACCAACACCAAAATAAACATTTAGATATAACACAAGACTACCACCGTATGTCATATTATTTTGAAAGATTGCAATATATGTCCTATTAATTCCACAAGTCAGAAAAATGTGTTCACATTTTAGTCCAAGAATTTCAACTGAAGACAACATTGCCATGAGCAAACATATCCTAAAGTTTTGGAATTTCAAATATTTTGGCCTTGAGTATCAATGTAGAGACATTAATTGTCAAAATGCGCATCTGGTGCAATAACATTTGTATCGGTAATGGTATTACTACTACTGGGTCGATATCTCTGCCGGTGGACTGTTAGTCCTCAAGATTATCATCAGACCAGTGGCCAGTACTTCGATACTGCCGTGAAAATACGGATATTGTTCTATTCAAATTTGCTTTTATAAAATTTCAAAATCTTTTATATTAAGTAATATATCTCCTTCATGCAACGCTCTCATTTCTTGTCTGGGTTTGGCGTTACTTTTGTCCAATTTGGTTTAATCAGCTCATCAACGTTTGTATTAGACTTTAAACTTTCAAATATTTTGGCCTCGAGCATCAATGAAGCGACATTAAAAGAGAGTCGAAAACAAACTGACAACACTATGGCAAATATAGTTTGCTTAAATCTTATTCTTTGTCCTTGATGGATAGTTGTCTTATTAGGAAAAATACCACATCTCTTTATTTTCATATAGGGTTTTAATATTATCAACGTACTAGAATAAAGCTTAGAAATTTAAAATACGTCGGCCCTGTAACTAATGTTCTTCATTCTATTTTTCCTATGTGAGCGTAAATTTAAAACAAACTTACTGAAACTGAAACACAACATACATTTAATTATATGATTCTAAAACACTTGACACAACTCACCAACTAACACTAAAAAATCGATGATAACGATATGCAATAAACTCATTATAGATACCAGGATTACAGTTTTGTACGACAGGCGCGCGTTTTGTCTGCAAAGGACTCACCAGTGACGATTAGTAAATCAAATCTGTAATTGAGTGCTTCTCAGTAAATAATTTAAGTTGGTGATTGTATTGAACCCATCTATCACATCAAACTTGCTTCATATATTGTGACTTACATCTAGAAATTCCCATTGAGGGTCTGTTCAGAACAAATTTATACTTACGATTAAAGGGATAATTGTAATTGCAGTTTTCCAATTGTGAACTTTTACTTTCATTCCTCCAGCGCCTTTATATGAAGTATGTATCTCAAAGTTAATACGACATTCCAAAGCATGCATTTCGTATGATGATTTCCTCAATAGAGGGTTGCTTCTTACAAGTAAGTTAAATTACCGACTCTTATATAAGGTGTTTTCCCTTCATCATTTATGTATTTTGTTTTTAGCAATCTTCCTCATCCGAGTTGTACTGTACAATGACATACGATAAGATAAATATTTTACCTAAAGGCACTAGTATACAATTGTCAACTTTTGTCTGACACAGACTATTTATTTAGAATTAAATTATAAAATGAAAATTCATCAATTTAGAGATTTCTGTAACTCATTAAGTAAATAATAGATACATAAGACATCCTATGTTTTAGGCCGTAACCTTCGTCAGACATAACGGCTTAATTACCTCATCTCCTTCGACATTGAGAAAGCATACGGGTTAGTTGAAGTAATGAAAAACATTTAAAATAAAAATCGTCCCAGAGTCGCTGCCACTGTTGGTGAACGTTTCATCCTCGAGGATATCACCAGCCCAGTCGTCGGCACTTTTGTGTTGTCATAATAGAAACTGTCATTCATATGTTAATTTTCTGTACTATCCATAAAATGTAAATATTTTGTACTATCTATAAAATGTTAGTTCTCTGTACTATCTATAAAATGTTAGTTTTCTGTACTATCTATAGAATGTTGATTATTCGAAACACTTAGGCTTTTCGTGACCCCAAGCAAAGATTTTGTTAGTCGTATTTAGGCACTTTTTGGAATTTCGGATTTCAATACATTTCCACTTTCTGTCCATGTTTTGGACTGACGCCACTGATGATTCTTATGTAGACAAAACGAGTGTCTGGTGGACGCAATTTAAAACGTCTGGTATCTCTGACGAGTTTTTACCCTGGATGCAGTTATCATTTTTCTCTTAATATAGCATGAATGAAAATAGCTGACAATAGGAAGTTTGTGTAAAATTGGATTGAAGGATTGCTCTTTGAAAACAATTCTAAACGTACCAACCTCAATTTAACTTTGTACGGGCTTAACTAAAAAAAAAACCAGGGAACTGCATGAACTATAAAAAGAGCGAGACCGGGTTCGTCGACAAGGTATGCGTCTCCTGCTATTTATAAAAAAAATACATGTTTAGTTGTCTTTTACTTTTTGACACTATTATTTACTTTCAGATATATTGATGATGTACTATCACCGAATAACCCATATTTCAGTCAGTACTTACATATCCCAGTGAACTTGAAATTAAGGATACTACTGATGCTAGAAGGACAGCTTCATACCTTGATCTTTTCCTCAATATTGACACAGATGGACGACTTCTCACTAAAATCTATGACAAACGGGACGATTTCAACTTCCCAATTATCAATTTCCCATTTCTCAGCGGTAACATACCCTCTACCCCATCGTATGGTGTTTACATATCTCAGTTGATACGTTATGCTCGTGCATGTTTACACTATACGAACTTCATATACAGGAGTGTGCTCCTTACGCAGAAACTGCTCCAACAGAGTTATGAGGAGGAAAGATTAAAAATGACACTCCGTAAATTCTATGTACACCATCACGAATTGGTTGATCTATACGATGTGTCTGTGTCTAAAATAACTAACGACATTTTTACCACGTCTTCGATTGTGGTTTAACATCTACGTCGTCTGGTCTGCTAAGTACAGAACGTAGCCTATTCCCGAATATGACTGTTTTGCCGAGTGTGATTTCGCATTGCTATACGACGTGTCTCGGTATTTATACATCCAACATTCATGTATTTAGTTAGGATGTTTCTTTTGTAAGTCTTGTTGGATATTGTACATGTGTTATGTCTTTTTGTTTGTGGTTTGAATTCTATTTTTATTTTCCATATGTTAGTAAAAGTTAAGATAATTAATCAGCTAGTTCATTTATAGATTTTTGATTTTTAGTTTAAAGCAACTATATGCACAGGATTTTTTTGTTCATGTTAGCAATACATTTAGAAAAATAACTTAAAATTGACACACATAATTTTTAACCACACTCTTTCCCTTGCTTTCTAACAAATAAGGATTAATGTTTGTGATATGTATGTGCATATGTATGACAACAGCATCTTCCATTGATTTGATTTCCAATAGTTAAAATGGTGAATTATACTCTTTTTTTAAGTGTAACCATGGCAATAATCTGCATTTATTTGATACAAATAATTGCAAAAAGGGGGGTGAAAATGTCACAAAAGTCCCCAAAATTTGCTCCAAAGAAGAATTTCAATCCATTAGAGTGATACCTTTTCTGGAACCATAGACATTTATCTATCAAGAGGTAAAAAAAAATCATATGCATTTCACCTCATTTTTCCATAAAATCAATAGTCTTTCTACACCTCACACCACTATTTCACTATTTCTCACACTTAATTGAAATTGGGCATTGTTTTCTTTAGATAGTGCTGTTTCTACAAAAATGCGAATAGTAGATGAATCTTTCTTTTTTTTAAGGTCACACTTAGTCTATTTGTTGACTTGTTTTTCGAATTCATGCAGAATTCGGGCAAAAAATTCCCCCAAAAAATCACTATGACAAGTATTTAATTTCACATTCAGTTATGCTGATCATGTCCTGTCACTTATTTACCCTCATTTTAGAGATTGCTTGTATCTCGCATATCGCAGCAAACTTGACATTAAGGATACTAACCAAGTAAGAAGTTTTCTTCGTGAAACTGACAAAATTGTTGATTTCAAACAAGAACCTTTTTTTTATGTGTCGTTTTCCAAACATTAAAAAAAATTTGAATATTCACACAGATTACTCTTACATGAAAACACGTAAACGTGACATGAAAACAACATCGCTGATAATGGCAATACTTCTACCGCTGTATAACGGTGCTCTGGTGCACGCAGTGTGTACGAGGAATGTATATTGACCTACAAGAGCCCAAACGGATCTTTTATAGTGTCGAAAAAAAGAATTTTAAAAATATCACAATTAACACAATCAATTTCACATGTTTTGTAAAATAAAACGATGCTGTTACATTTTCTTTAAAACAATTTGCCATTTTATAAAGGACTTTCCGTTTTGAATTTCCCTTGGAGTTCAGTATTTTTGTTATTTTACTTTTTAATTGAAATGCTTACGCTTCCAAAGCATCTAAGCTTTCCCTGGATTTTGATGGGGGTCTTAAGTCCCCATCTTAGTTTTCTGTGTAGTGTTGTGCTTCTGTTAATCTTTTTACTGTCATGGTGTTGTCTGTCTTCCTGTCACTTCTGGTTTTTAATTATCCTCTTTGAATCTTCCCCTTCACAACAAAAACATGAATAGCTGACAGGAAATTTTCTTAAAAGTTTCTTTTTCGTTGACTTACTTCACTACAATGAATAACGAACAACTTTGCAATGACCTAGATGTCAATAACTATTATAGTGCACGTTTTATGAAAACTATAATCATCGGCCTTCTTTTACTTTAGGGGACTTTAAAAATTGTAAAAAAAAAGAGGGGACTCATAAAAAAAAATTGTTTTTGGTAGTATAATATACAGGTTTTAGGAGACTAGTATGTATATAAAACAGTTTTATAGTAATTGTTTCTTTAAATGCGTTTATAGGTTGTGGGTCCACTAAAATGAAATAATGCATTATAGTACTACTTTACTTTAAGGGACTCATATATATATATCATTCAGTTTTATAGTAATTGGTTATTTTTATCTGTCTATAGGTTTTAAGTCCCCTAACGTAAAATAAGGCATTATAGCACAACTTTACTTAAGGGAACTATATTGGAAAATTGAAATGATACCTTTTTTACCATTTAATCTGGAATTACTATATATATGTATTGCAAGAAAAGATATAATATGTTACCAAGCAATTTTATTAAATTCTATATAAAAAAGATGAAAAATATCCATTTATGGACACATTCCCCTAAAGTAAAATGTAGGAATGTCGAGTCCCCTAGAGTAAAAGAAGGCCTAATTATCTATAATGAAATATATATATCATCACATATTCAGTAATATAAATATACAAAAACAATTACTATGTGGGTTACTTGATACCATGCACACAGTTTAATACAGGTCCTGATAATACTTATTTTCACAAATCCCAATTGTGTATCATGTCTGTGCAATCCCTCTTTGTTTCCATGATTTAACCATGAGACAAACAATCGATATTCAAAAACGTTGACATGAATAACAATGTGAAAAGAAAACGCACATGAATATAAGTGTATCCTGAATATTAAGCTGGAAATGTATACCTTCAAAACACTTCAAAAGAACCAAAGTCGTAGCTTTTGCCAAGCCATTTGTACTTCATCCTTCTCGACTGGCCATTGAATTAAAAATACATCTTTCCAAATGGTGAAAAATTCTATGATAATATCATCCAAAGGGGTATCTCTTGTAATAACAACAATATTCTGCAGATTTTTGAAAAACATTTCATACTTTGCTTTCTCGATTTCAAAACGAGTCCATTCATTTTCGAAAATTGATGGCGAGACTAGAAATATAACGTGTCTGCATCTATGAATGGAAGTAGCTCTTTCTGTTGCTATCGATTCGCCAACATTAAAATTTCTATCTTCGAAGCAAATTTTGAAACCCCATTCATCTTCTACTTTCTTTTGCAATTCTTTCACAAAAGAAATGTAGTCATCTGAATATGAAACGTAAACGTCATAATCAAAAGTTAGCTCAAGACCTTTCTCCGCAAATCTCCGGACATTTCGGAAGAAAAAGAAAATTATCCTCCATCTAAAATTGTACAATACTGTAATACAAATCAAACTTGATCAATCAGAAATTAATAATGAGATCCCTAACTTGATCCAAACTGTAGTATCACAATCAACGAAATAGTGATGAAAGTCTTCAGCTATATTTCTGGTATAGTTGATTTTTTAATTGAAGAAACCCAACAAGAGTAATTGACATTTTCATTAAACTTTACTTTAGTTGTAAGAATCCAACGCAAAAAGGTTGTTGTATCACAAGAACGAATCAATGGGTTATTACTGAGATATAATTTAACAGTTCTAAATTTGGTATGCTGGGTATCAATCCAATTTTGTATATTCTTCCGAATTGTAGTTAATTGATTGTGTGATAAATCGAGGTCGGTAAGGTTATCAAACTTCTTAACTACATCAGGAACATCATCAAACAAGTTATAAGATAAATTGAGAGTTGTTAAATGCGGTAATTGGCCAATCAAATTTTTTTTCCATATATAGTGATATGATATATCTAAATTTTTGATATTCGGACAAAGACTAAGTATCGATGAATTAGTTTGTAAAACGAGGTACAGTTTTGTTTCCTTCATGATGAGTGTTTTCAAATGGATTAAAAGTGGAATTTTTCCGGCTCCAATAGTAATATCAGAACTTATACCAGACAAATCTAAAAGCTCCAAACTATTAAATCCTTCTAAAGTTATAATCGGGAAAACATCTGTTTCAAAATAAGAAACCTCGAGATGCCGAAGGGAACTGTTTATTATTTTTACTTCCCTGAAACCATTTCTACCATTTCTACCCATTATATGTGTTATTCTCAAAAATTGAATCTGTTTCGGAACCGTAACTGTTATATTCTGTACCTCTAATCTACCTTTGTTTTCGAGTCTTCAAATTGTCGTATGGTTGTTTTCTCTCGCCACATCAAAGAAGACTGGGTTTTTGAATCTTAGTGGAAAATAGGAAAAATCAATCATTTTGATGTTGTTCATCCTGAATACAAACAAGAATAGATTTAATGCCCAAGTTTCTAAATTAAAACTATTAGTTGATACCATTATATGTTCATAGCACTGTGGATGTTTAAACGAAACTATTGATTTGTTTTTAACTGAAATAATCTGATTGTCCGAAAAGTCTAAGGTCTTTATACAGATAGTTGATATATATTTCATCATCTCCAGTGTCAGAACAACCGCGTCCAGGTCACGTTCAATATTACCACGAGTTATTCCGAGAAAAAGAATCGCATCCATTGATTTATTCTGTAATGGATGTAAAATTCTGAGAGCCTGGGTTAAGTGAATATTGCTGTTAGTAAGATTCAATACATTTATATGTTGAAATGGAACTAAAACGCCGATTTCAATAACGACAAAATGTTTACAAGTTGTCATGTGGAATTCCTTTATATTTACCGGCATATCGAAAAACGTCTCATTGTACAAAATCTTAACGTGGCAATAGTCAAATCTCAACTTGTATAAATTTTGCAGTTTCTTAAATTACTTTCCAAACGTTGCGTTAAACACAAGATCAATAGACAGCTCACGCAGGTTACAGAGTTTACCAGCGGAAATTCTATACAGGTTGTATTCTGGTGTTTTCATATTTTTACTAATGTCTAAAACTGATATAAAACACTCCAGAGGGGTACGATTCACTAACGTTCAGATAATTGTTAGACATAGTCAAATATTTCAATAATGATAAACCAATGAAAGCCTTTTCATGCAACACTCTAATAACATTGTTATCAAGCATTAACTGTTCTAGATACTTATATTCATGAAATACGTTGGCATCCAGTCTGGTCAGTCTGTTAGAACTTAAATCCAATTTCTTTATATCAGGCGGTAAATTGGTCGGAACAGATGTTAATCCTTGGTCTTTACACTGTGCCTCCTTATATCCTAACATATCCAATGTGATATTGCATTCTGAAAACACAGGATTACATAAATAAACAGATGTTATGCACACAACTATGAAGATGTACATCTTTTCCTAGTGTAAGTTGACGCGAAATTAATTTCAAGATTAAGTACTGTTATATAAAAAAAAACTTAGATAAAAATTCCATCACGTGATGAAAAGTTGCGACCGATTCAATAAAATTGTTTTATGATTACCTGTAAAATAAATAATAGTTTTCATTTAAGAATGACTTGATTCTATACTTTCATAGATCAAAATTACAGGATTTTGTTATAAAACCCCACTTGATAAATGTTTTATCAATAACTTCAGACACGAATTGTCAACAATTTGAAAGTTTCTAAATACTAGTGTACAATCGAAATTTTATCAACTGAACTCTATCTTACTATGTCGAACAGTAGTAGTGACCAATGTTCTTTTTAGATCGTGATATTTGAATTTCTCATGGTAATCTTTATACCAAAATATATGATAAACGGTATGTTTCCTTCTTGGTTGATTGTCCTTTCCTTGATGCTGATGTTCTGTTGTCATCTCCTTATCTGTTGCACATTTTCAATTCGCTCCTTATAAGCGCGTGTGTCTCCGGTTTCAATTAGTGGGATATTTTCATAACTTTAGTTAAACAGCAGAGATATAATATTATAAATTAGTAAAACATCCACTGATTTTTTATCTTACATATGTTGGTTGTAGAACCTTGATTCTAGCTCCAGGAATTTAATCAGAAGTGGTATATCGCATTCAGGTTTTTCCCCGTAATATTATTTCTAAAGCATACAAATTTGGAATTGTCATTCCAATCTTTCTTTTTTGGCTCAATAGACTTATTTATTACCGTAATGAGTATAGTATTGTTGTTAAATTATTGTCGAGGTTTTGTGGGAGTGTTTTTTGCGGTTTTTTTGGGTTTGTGTGAGGGGGTTATTTTATATAAACATTAATGTGCAGAATCATATCTTAAATGAAGGCGACCGTTGTTCACTGATATACAAATATCGTAAATCGAAAGAAGAGACAGATCAAGGTAACAAACAGAAATTGAGGAAATCGAATGAACTCCGTAAGGATCGAGACCGGGTGCGTCGACAGGATAATCTTCTCCTGCTTTGCATGCATCCATGCGAATTCACACTCAGTCAAAATGTCACACTCAGAAATAGGACACAATAAGTAAAATTACAGACGACTATACAAGTTCCTAAAGATCTAATACTGCGATAGTGGGTTGACACACCAACACAGCGCATCGGTCAACTAATTCGTGATGGTGAACCTTAAAATTATGTAGTGTCGATTTCAGTCGTTCTTCCTCATAACATAAAGCAATACCAATATCAAACTTTTATCATTTTCAATAGTATTCTGGATAATAAATTCTGCACAAAACGAGTCTTTCTGTTTTATTAGGACATTGTAAAGTATTAAGGTAGATAGGGTGTCTTCCTCCATCTTGGATTTTGTAATACCTGAAAACAATCGGTCTAGATCTTTAATAGAATGTGCAAATTTTGAGAGTAGTAGGTAATTCATGTGTAAGAATTTTCATTTCAATATAGAAAATGACATGTTTTATCATATTTATGGTTGTATTTTACAAAAAAACAGAAAACTTTTGTTTGATTCAATTTTTTACAACATTGCCACATAAGGGGAGGCAACTCAAATGTAAGGGCAGATAATTCAGATAAAGGTACTTTTACAATAGAATGTGTAAGGAATTTACCTATTTTATTATGTAGCAAGAAAATGGGTCCGGTGACCCCATTTTTTCTTTTTCTTATCTGAAAGCATACTATTAAAGCTATTTTCTCATATTTTATCTCAAAATTCTATGGTGTATTTTTCGTTTTATGGCAGAAAATTGGGTTTTCCATGCATAATCTATACAAAATATGTTAATTTTGAACAACCTGTAGCGTGAAAATAAGCCCCGTGACCCATTCTTTTCATAATTTTTTTTAAAAAGCTTGATATAAACTACATTTTGGCAAATTATTAAAAAATTCTACGGATTATAATTTAGACACCCCATCTACCTTAAGTCGTCTTTAAAATACGGTCACCGAAATTATGGTGAAGGACCGTATGAATTCATAACAATAGGTAAAGTACTTTGAACTTGCTTTGTGTAATAACTTGATACGATAAAATTTTCGTAAATGTACTTTTGCTTCATTATATTTATATATAAAGAAGTCTATAAAAACGACGAACCAGCAAATTTAATAAGTGTCGGATCGTCTATACTAGGCGATACTTTACAGATTAGAAACAAGTTATTAAAGTCCTAAATTTTGGGCAAAGATACTGCAATAAATCGTATAGACAGATATGTCGGCACAACAAAAGACCTTATTCAGTGTCAATGTTTTTTTAATGGGTGCAATACAATAAGCGTTTGTGTGTAACATTAGCTTGCTCGTACAGGTAAATATTATGCAATTAATTTAATCTGAAATCCTGCACCTCATAGAATAAAACAAAACTCAATACTATTTAGACGTGGCTACGCACTTATATATCCCAAAATGTAGTTGTTGGTATAAATACACACATATATATATATATATATAATAAGATCCATTTATTACACCTGGTGATCCGTTTATTTGGCAATCGCCAATGGCAGTCGGCAGGGTTTAAGAACATTTGTTGTTCGACCTGTTAGTCAAATGCGTTTTGTTAAAATATACTTTTTCACTTTTTTTGGTCTTTTGGAAAATGTTGTTTGTGCTGTATTTAGACCCCTCTAACAAGAAATTTGTTTTGCATGCACACGTATAAAAATTGCGGTTTTTATCCAACGCAATCATAGGTTTGAACGTTGTTTTCAATTTGATATATTAGTACCGTTGTGCAAAATCTTTAGACTGATATATATATATATATATATATATATATATATAAATATATATAGAAGTCTATAAAAAGGACCAACCAGCAAATTAAATATGTACCGGATCGTCTAGAATAGACGATACTGCGCAGATAAGGAAAAAATGTCGACACTGACGAAGGCTATTTGATAAGCCAAAATATTTGTCAACACGATTTATAACATCATCTTCGTAAATTACCATCTTATATTAGTACCGTTATGCATATCTTTAGACTTATATATATATATATATATATATATATATTCACAAGTCTAAATTGAAAACAACGTTCAAACCTATGATTGCGTTGGATAAAAACCGCAATTTTTATACGTGTGCATGCAAAACAAATTTCTTTGAAGAGGGTCTAAATACAGCACAAACAACATTTTCCAAAAGACCAAAAAAGTGAAAAAGTATATTTTAACAAAACGCATTTGACTAGCAGGTCGAACAACGGATGTTCTTAAACCCTGCTGACTGCCATGGCGATTGCCAAATAAACGGATCACAGATGTAACACAATGGATCTTAATTATATTAATTTAATACCAAACAGAAAACAATAAACTTGCGGAAAAGATGGTATATCGCAAACATGAGGTGCAAACATTTGTACACCATATCCGGATTTCGACAATTAATGTCTCTTCAGTGATGTTAGGAATCGAAACGGTATTTGGAAGGCCATATAATTTACCTGAATTTGGGATTGACTCTTGAATTTTGAAGAGTCGAAATAGGATGAACGGATCATATAAACCCGAAGGCAAATATAATACAAGCCCAAACGAAAAAATATAAACAAGTCTAAATTGAAAACAACGTTCAAACCTATGATTGCGTTGGATAAAAACCGCAATTTTTATACGTGTGCATGCAAAACAAATTTCTTTGAAGAGGGGTCTAAATACAGCACAAACAACATTTTCCAAAAGACCAAAAAAGTGAAAAAGTATATTTTAACAGAATGCATTTGACTAGCAGGTCGAACAACGGATGTTCTTAAACCCTGCTGACTGCCATGGCGATTGCCAAATAAACGGATCACAGATGTAACACAATGGATCTTAATTATATTAATTTAATACCAAACAGAAAACAATAAACTTGCGGAAAAGATGGTATATCGCAAACATGAGGTGCAAAAATTTGTACACCATATCCGGATTTCGACAATTAATGTCTCTTCAGTGATGTTAGGAATTGAAACGGTATTTGGAAGGCCATATAATTTACCTGAATTTGGGATTGACTCTTGAATTTTGAAGAGTCGAAATAGGATGAACGGATCATATAAACCCGAAGGCAAATATAATACAAGCCCAAACGAAAAAATATAAACAAGTCTAAATTGAAAACAACGTTCAAACCTATGATTGCGTTGGATAAAAACCGCAATTTTTATACGTGTGCATGCAAAACAAATTTCTTTGAAGAGGGTCTAAATACAGCACAAACAACATTTTCCAAAAGACCGAAAAAGTGAAAAAGTATATTTTAACAAAACGCATTTGACTAGCAGGTCGAACAACGAATGTTCTTAAACCCTGCTGACTGCCATGGCGATTGCTAAATAAACGGATCACAGATGTAACACAATGGAACTTAATTATATTAATTTAATACCAAACAGAAAACAATAAACTTGCGGAAAAGATGGTATATCGCAAACATGAGGTGCAAAAATTTGTACACCATATCCGGATTTCGACAATTAATGTCTCTTCAGTGATGTTAAAGGAATCGAAACGGTATTTGGAAGGCCATATAATTTACCTGAATTTGGGATTGACTCTTGAATTTTGAAGAGTCGAAATAGGATGAACGGATCATATAAGCCCGAAGGCAAATATAATACAAGCCCAAACGAAAAAATATAAACAAGTCTAAATTGAAAACAACGTTCAAAGCTATGATTGCGTTGGATAAAAACCGCAATTTTTATACGTGTGCATGCAAAACAAATTTCTTTGAAGAGGGGTCTAAATACAGCACAAACAACATTTCCCAAAAGACCAAAAAAGTGAAAAAGTATATTTTAACAGAACGCATTTGACTAGCAGGTCGAACAACGGATGTTCTTAAACCCTGCTGACTGCCATGGCGATTGCCAAATAAACGGATCACAGATGTAACACAATGGATCTTAATTATATTAATTTAATACCAAACAGAAAACAATAAACTTGCGGAAAAGATGGTATATCGCAAACATGAGGTGCAAAAATTTGTACACCATATCCGGATTTCGACAATTAATGTCTCTTCAGTGATGTTAGGAATCGAAACGGTATTTGGAAGGCCATATAATTTACCTGAATTTGGGATTGACTCTTGAATTTTGAAGAGTCGAAATAGGATGAACGGATCATATAAACCCGAAGGCAAATATAATACAAGCCCAAACGAAAAAATATAAACAAGTCTTAATTGAAAACAACGTTCAAACCTATGATTGCGTTGGATAAAAACCGCAATTTTTATACGTGTGCATGCAAAACAAATTTCTTTGAAGAGGGGTCTAAATACAGCACAAACAACATTTTTCAAAAGACCAAAAAAGTGAAAAAGTATATTTTAACAAAACGCATTTGACTAGCAGGTCGAACAACGGATGTTCTTAAACCCTGCTGACTGCCATGGCGATTGCCAAATAAACGGATCACAGATATAACACAATGGATCTTAATTATATTAATTTAATACCAAACAGAAAACAATAAACTTGCGGAAAAGATGGTATATCGCAAACATGAGGTACAAACATTTGTACACCATATCCGGATTTCGACAATTAATGTCTCTTCAGTGATGTTAGGAATCGAAACGGTATTTGGAAGGCCATATAATTTACCTGAATTTGGGATTGACTCTTGAATTTTGAAGAGTCGAAATAGGATGAACGGATCATATAAACCCGAAGGCAAATATAATACAAGCCCAAACGAAAAAATATAAACAAGTCTAAATTGAAAACAACGTTCAAACCTATGATTGCGTTGGATAAAAACCGCAATTTTTATACGTGTGCATGCAAAACAAATTTCTTTGAAGAGGGGTCTAAATACAGCACAAACAACATTTTCCAAAAGACCAAAAAAGTGAAAAAGTATATTTTAACAAAACGCATTTGACTAGCAGGTCGAACAACGGATGTTCTTAAACCCTGCTGACTGCCATGGCGATTGCCAAATAAACGGATCACAGATGTAACACAATGGATCTTAATTATATTAATTTAATACCAAACAGAAAACAATAAACTTGCGGAAAAGATGGTATATCGCAAACATGAGGTGCAAAAATTTGTACACCATATCCGGATTTCGACAATTAATGTCTCTTCAGTGATGTTAGGAATCGAAACGGTATTTGGAAGGCCATATAATTTACCTGAATTTGGGATTGACTCTTGAATTTTGAAGAGTCGAAATAGGATGAACGGATCATATAAACCCGAAGGCAAATATAATACAAGCCCAAACGAAAAAATATAAACAAGTCTTAATTGAAAACAACGTTCAAACCTATGATTGCGTTGGATAAAAAACCGCAATTTTTATACGTGTGCATGCAAAACAAATTTCTTTGAAGAGGGGTCTAAATACAGCACAAACAACTTTTTCCAAAAGACCAAAAAAGTGAAAAAGTATATTTTAACAAAACGCATTTGACTAGCAGGTCGAACAACGGATGTTCTTAAACCCTGCTGACTGCCATGGCGATTGCCTAATAAACGGATCACAGATGTAACACAATGGATCTTAATTATATTAATTTAATACCAAACAGAAAACAATAAACTTGCGGAAAAGATGGTATATCGCAAACATGAGGTGCAAAAATTTGTACACCATATCCGGATTTCGACAATTAATGTCTCTTCAGTGATGTTAGGAATCGAAACGGTATTTGGAAGGCCATATAATTTACCTGAATTTGGGATTGACTCTTGAATTTTGAAGAGTCGAAATAGGATGAACGGATCATATAAACCCGAAGGCAAATATAATACAAGCCCAAACGAAAAAATATAAACAAGTCTAAATTGAAAACAACGTTCAAACCTATGATTGCGTTGAATAAAAACCGCAATTTTTATACGTGTGCATGCAAAACAAATTTCTTTGAAGAGGGGTCTAAATACAGCACAAACAACATTTTCCAAAAGACCAAAAAAGTGAAAAAGTATATTTTAACAAAACGCATTTGACTAGCAGGTCGAACAACGGATGTTCTTAAACCCTGCTGATATTATATATATAATAGTTTAGATCCATTTTGTTACATCTGGGGATCCGTTTATTTGGCAATCGCCAATGGCAGTCAGCAGGGTTTAAGAACATCCGTTGTTCGACCTGCTAGTCAAATGCTTTTTCACTTTTTTGGTCTTTTGGAAAATGTTGTTTGTGCTGTTTTCAGACCCCTCTACCAAGAAATATGTTTGGATGCACACGTATAAAAATTGCGGTTTTTATCCAACGCAATCATAGGTTTGAACGTTGTTTTCAATTTAGACTTGTATATATAGAATAACTATACATTTTCTCGAAATATAAAAAGAAAATATTTGAACAACGTAAAGAAACAGGTAGAATGCGAGACTCTGCAGAGCATTTCTATCCTAAACCGAGCGGGGTAGACCACATACCACAATTGATTTCCCTTTAAGTTCTTGTCAAATTTATTAAAATCGCATCCTGTTATTTTGACCTATCATTTGTGTGTGTGTTAAGTGTACAGTACATGTCCAAATTCTTTCCAAAATTCAAAAAAATAATTGCACTTTTTGTTTTGCAGACAGTATGGTCTGTTTGGCCTATAACAGTAAACTACATGGTATAAGTTTTACTCATTGCTGAAGGTTGACTTTGTTGGACAGTTATCTTATTGGCAATCAAACGAGATATTTCGGAAAGTATGTTGCAACATCTTATAAACTGATTTCACTTAAGGCGAAGTAGAAGTTGTTTGATCATATTTCGGATTTTTACGAAATTCTATATGCATTGAACTCGTTGAAAAAAGTAAAACAACAAAAATACCGACCTCCAAGGAAAATTCAAAACAGAAAGTCCCTTAACAATTGACAACATCAAAAGCTCAAACACATCAAACGAATGGAAAACAACTTTCATATTCCTGACATGGTACAGGCATTTTCTTATTTAGAAAATGGTGGATTTAACCTATATGCAGATTAAACACATTGATTCTAAAGATATAATAAATTCAAAATCTTTCGAATAGAAGATTTGAATGTATAGAAACGAATATTCATGCTGTTAAAAAAATCCGATCCACATAATTCTTTTTTAATGATATGTTATCACTAAACTAGATTCAGGTTTAATGATCACCAGATTCGTGTTTGCAGACTTAATCATTTGCGTTTTGTTTTGTTTTTTTTTTGTTTCTTTTTTTGTGCATAAAAATTACGATATTGCAGATTGACCACAGGCACTTGTCTCTTTAAAAAAACTACATTAATATACCTTTATTTTTTTATAAAATTATATAGATTTACTATTACATGTGAGGGTGACGCCAACATGTCATTTTGTTCCTCGACGCTCTTTCCGTACTTACACAAAACGTCGCATACTGTAATCTGTTTGCAATGATGGTCGTGTAATGAACGCTGCTTTAACACCAAATTTGTTCTCATCTGTACACCGGTAATAATTACCTGTACGTGAGATTTGTTTACACGAGTAAACTACATGAAGGATTAATGTAAATGAACCAATGCATGCATATATACTAAACTAAGTCTTATATTTTCGATTTTAATATAAATTACGAATCTATAACGTATTATCGACAAATTATATTTTATTCAATGATTGTTGATCGCAAGATAATTAACTTTCGAGTTTGTTGCCGATGTTAACCAGATCGTGATATTAGTAAACAGCCAACACAGAGCATGTTGAGTACATGCAAAATAAGTTAAATAATAGAGTCATAATATATTTTATTTTTTTTATTTTTCATGCGTTCCCATTTTTTATTAAGTGCCAGTCTTTGTATGAATCAGGCAATTTAAAAATCAAAAACATGGCCGAAAAAACACACCGACCAAACCATCCTATTTTGAAGTTACCCTCATCCTGAGTTAGAAATGGTAAGTCTTTCATTTTTGCGTTTCTGGTAATTCGAAAAATCTCTAGATGACTTTTGGTTAGAATAATAGCAAATTACGGAGTTAGCTCCCCTTAATTGTTAATTTCTAGTACATTTCAACCAAATTATATCTTGAATTACCAGATTAGAAAAAAGTAAACGAAAGTTATATTCGTGCACCATTATACATTTTGAACATTAATTAATGTAAACTTGAGTGGGTTTTTGTTTGTCATGTTTTCACCACTTCCTAATTCTTAGGCAGATTGGCACTTAAACTTTTCTTTAACAGTGTTAAATGATTTGTTGTATTAAATTTGTTCTTTAAGAATCAGTTATTACAATTTACCTTTCAGTGAACGTTTGTTTACATCAGGGTTTTCCCCTCGCACTTACGCTGTGCGGTGGCCGAAGCTCTAACGAGAGTTCACGTAGTAAAGATCATTACGGGAAGACAATAATTCAATAGCAGTACATAAAGGAAGATTTTGATAATATAAAAGATTTTCTGTTACAAGAAAGTTCACGTACACTTTTTTTATAATAAAACTTAGCCATTCAAATATATGAAACATATTTTTTCTACACATACTTTTAAATTGGTTCTTCACATGGTTCTGCTGAAATCAATATGTTTTCCTAAGTATTGATTGGGATATAGGAATATGTTCTTCCCTTAGTCTTCTTTCAACAGTAAAACCCTTGCCATAGATTTTTTTATCTGTGCGGGATGTATAAATTCAAAGTAACGTCCGATCAGAGTTAAATCCGTTGCCTCGTGTAGAAAGAGTGCCACTCTTTTTGCAGTTAAGAACCCTTGCAACAACCCTTTCAGGGATTTGTAGGTAGCCTGTTGCAAGTCTTAAATTATGTCCATACCACATATATCCTTATTTTACATTAGCATTCTAAATCCCCCTTTCATCAAGGGAGACTCCCTATTGTAGGGCCTATTGTATTAATTGTTAATTTGTTACTGAACATGCATGTAATATTTGCAACTCGGTGTAAAGCAAACAACACTCAATCAAACAACTATACATGTATTAATGCCCCTTATTCTGAAATAGTCCACTCAATTCGGTAAGACAATGTCCAATGAATGATGTGTTTGATGATAACGTCGAGTCCAAAAAGAGGTAAGTAAAGCTATCTGATCGTTTTTAATAGCTGATCAATATTTTGAGTTTTGGACAAATGAATTGGTATATGACTCAATTCATAATATATTTAGAATCATTTTATTTCAAATAGGTTTCTTCCTTAAATATTTATAAAAAAATTCTCTTCTTAATATCTAGTTGTATGTACACTTAACCCACACAAGCCCTTCATTGACTTTTATCAATGGGAACGTAGATGAGTTTAGTTTACGCGTTGATGACACTAACACCACACCGAGTTTAGCTCAAAATTATATAAACACAACCTAATGAAGTAAGTACTGTTACAAATAAGAGCTAAGTTAAGACTTTGACAAATGTTGGTAAAAAAATAACAATGTACAAATTTCTTTACCAAACTTGAAAAGCCAAATTTTAGAGTGTGAATAATTTGATATCCATAATCAAAGTTATCAGTTGACATGTAGAGTGCACATTTAATTTTGAGCTTTAACAACATTTGGGGATTAGGCGGTCCACTGGGTCCCACCTATTAAAATACCCCCGATTAAACAAGTTCAAATTTACAGCTCTAACCAGCAACATAATACAAACAAAATCTACTATGTGGGTTAATTGATACAATGCACACAGGTATATACAGTTCTTTATAATACATATTTTTTCAAAGCAAGATAGGTTATCATGTCTCTGCTATGCCTTTTATTTCCATGTTTAAGCAATGATACAAACTGTTTAGATTAAATACTATAACATGAATAAAGATGTGAAAAGCTACGCACACGCATAAAAGTGTATCATGAATGTTAAGCTGGACATTTTTACCTTAAAGATACTTCAAAAGAACCAAAGTCGAAGCTTTTGCCAAGCCATTTGGACTGCCTCCTTCTCGAATGGCCATTGAATCAAAAGTACATCTTTCCAAATGGTGGAAAATTCTACGGGAATATTATCCAAAGGGATATCTCTTGTAATAACAACAATCTTCTGCAGATTTTTGGAAAACTTTTCATACTTTGCTCGCTCGATTTCAAAACGAGTCCATTCATTTTCGACAATTGATGGCGAGACAAGAAATATAACGTGTCTGCATCTATGAATAGAAGTAGCTCTTTCGGTAGCTATTGATTCACCTACAATAAAATCTCTATCTTCGAAGCAAATTTTGAAACCCCATTCATCTTCTACTTTCTTTTGCAATTCTTTCACAAAAGAAATACAATCATCCGAATATGAAACGTAAACGTCATAATCAAAAGTTAGCTCAAGACCTTTCTCTGCAAATCTCCGGATATTTCGGAAGAAAAAGAAAATTATCCTCCATCTAAAATTGTACAATAGCGTAATACAAATCAAAGTTGATAAAACAGAAACCAATAACGAAATGCCTAATTTGATCCAAACGGTAGAATCACAGTCAACGAAATAATGATGAAAGTCTTCAGCGACATTTCTGGTATAGTTGATTGTTTTAAGCGAAGAAACCCAACAAGAGTAGTTTCCATTTTTATCTAACTTTACTTTAGTTGTCAGAATCCAACGCAAAAATATTGTTGTATCACATGAACAAATCAATGGGTTATTACTGAGATATAATTTAAAAGTTCAAAAGTTGGTATGCTGGGTATCAATCCAACTAAGTATATTTTTCCGAATTGTAGTTAATTGATTGTGTGATAAATCGAGGTCAGTAAGGCTATCAAACTTTGTAACTACATCAGGAACATCATCAAACAAGTTATAAGATAGATTGAGTTGTGTTAAATGCGGCAGTTGCCAAAGCGAATTCATTTTCCACATATAGTTATATGATATATCCAAATTCTTTATATTAGGACAAAGACTTGATATTGATGAATTAGTTTGTAAAACGAGGTACAATTTTGTTTCCTTCAAGATGAGTGTTTTCAAATGGATTAAAAGTGGAATTTTCCCCGCCCCAATTGTAATATCGGAACTTATTCCTGACAAATCCAGATGCTCCAATCTATTAAATCCTTCTACAGTCAAAATCGGGAAAACATCGGTTTCAAAATAAGAAACTTCGAGTTGCCGAAGGGAGCTATTTATTACTTTTATTTCCCTGAAGCCATTTCTACCCATTACATGTGCTATTCTCACAAATTGCATTTGGTTCGGAACCGTAACTGTTATATCCTGTATCTCTAATCTGCCTTTGTATTCAAGTCTTTCGATTGTTGTATGGTTATTTTTCGTCACGATGTCAAGGAAAACTGGGTTTTTGAACCTTAGTGGAAAATAGGAGAAATCAAACATTTTGATGTTGGTCATTCTGAATACAAACAAGAAAAGATTAACTGCCCAAGTTTCTAAACTAAAACTATTAGATGATACCATTATATGTTCAAAGCACTGCGGATGTTTAAACGAAACTATTGAATTGTTTTTAACTGAAATAATCTGATTGTCAGAAAAGTCTAAGGTCGTTATACAGATAGTTGATATGTATTTCATCATATCCTGTGTAAGAACAACCGCGTCAAGGTCGTGTTTGATATTACCATGAGTTATTCCACGAAAAAGAATTGCATCCATTGATTTATTTTGAAACGGTTGTACAATTCTGAGAGCCTGAGTTAAGTGAATATTGCTGTTAGTAAGATTCAGTACTTTTAGATGAGGAAATGGTACTAAAACTCCAACTTCAATGACGACAAAATGTTTACAAGTTGTCATGTGGAATTCATTTATATTAACCGGCATATCTGAAAATGTCTCATTGTATAAAATATCAACGTGGCAATAGTCAAATCTCAACTTTCGTAAATTGTGTAGTTTCCTAAATTGCTGTCCAAACGTTGCGTTCAACACAAGATCAATTGACAGCTCACACAGGTTACAGAGTTCACCAACGGGAATTCTATACGGGTTGTATTCTGGTGTTTTCATATTTCTACTGACATCTAAAGCTGATAAATTCTGTAAGGATTCAAACACTCCAGGTGGGTAAGATGTAAACACGTTTAATTGATTTTTTACCATGGACAACCGTCGTAATAATGATAATCCGGTGAAAGCCTTCGCATCCAAAAAATTCATAATATTATTATCAAGTATAAGTTGTTCTAGATACTTATATCTATGAAAACTGTTGTCACCCAATCTGGTCAGTCTATTATAACTTAAATCTAATATCTTTAAATCAGGCGGTAAATTTGTCGGAACAGATGTAAATCCCTGGTGTTTACAATCAGCCTCCTTATCTTCTAATGTATTTAATGTGATATTGCATTGTGCATGTACTGTTGTATATGGATAAACAAGTATAATCCAAATTGTTATGATGATATACATTATTTTGATTAACTTAATTTGTCATCTACTTCCAGCGGTATAGACAAATTCGATAAATGACTGCAGTGTGTGCATGTTTTTAAATTTCTGTCTTTAAATGTGTAAGGATTTAGTTTCTTTTATTTTGCCTTGACCGATATGGTTTTGATTGCATTTAATAAGTTTAAAAACCAAACAAACAAACATCGTAATAAAACTTTATATCCACATTACGGTTTCACATGCAGAGATAAATGAAAATGAAATGTAGATAAACAAGGGCAAGGGCAAGTTGTATTTTTCCTCTCCTTTTTTAACTTTGTATAAAGAGTGCAATTACAGCAAGGGACAGGAAATGCCTACCCGTCCGGAGCACTTGAGTTTTCTTCGTGTTGTTCTCAATCGAAAGTCTTCTATGTAGTATTGACTTTATTGTTTCTTTTTGTTTTTTCCTACTGCCATAATGATGTCGATCTTATTTCGACTGGCTGAAAGTTTTGACGGAAACCTATGCAGGACCGACGAAACTTCAATTTGTATTCAAGATCACGAATTAAAAAAAAATGTGATCACGGATTAAAATCGTAACGAAGAATTCAATATTTTGTTTTCAATGATTAAATTAAAATGTAAGGCAAAAACTGAAACACACAAATTATATTGTTTATTTGTATATATACACTGTACCAAGGAGGTTGGCAATTTCTAAACCCGAAAAGCTATATTTAGATTGAATCTAATCGCGCATACATGTACAGTTGAATTATTTTTTGGGGAATCATTCTAATTGATAAAAATAATTACCATCATTTTCAGCAGAAATAACAAGCTATTTGATTCATTCGAATCGTCAGTGGTGACATAAACAACGAAATATTTAAAAACGTTAAAGAGAAATATATATATAAAACATTACATCAAGAAGGATGACACAGCTTGCTAAGAAATACTTGTGAATCGGGACGGGGTATCATTGTCATTTGGAAATTTCTTGCGAATCCTAATATCACAGTTAAAGTATGCCTGACCCAGGTCAAAAGACATCTTTGTCCCGTTATTTCAAAGCTGTAAATATTATTACACTTCCAAGTGAAAAATGCTATAATACATGAAGTATGCGTGACAAAATGTATTTAATGTATCAGATTATAGCAGTTTTTACATGGCATATCATATAAAAAGGACAAACGAAGGAACAAAATTCGTAGAACAAAACTAGCGACAATTCGTAACAAGTAAAATGGGTTCGACAACTCTTGTTACTGTGTGCAAACGTTGGAAAAGCATTGGCGAGTTGTAATCTCGGTAAGAATTCAAATATGTAAGATATTGACATGTATTTAAGTTTTATACACTGTTGTTAACAAGATGTAAGTGTTGTGAGTTATTTCTCTCTTATGATACACCCGCTATCAGTATTCAATATATAAGAATTTGATGATCGGTGGATGTGAAATATATGCTCACATAAAGCTTACGACATTTTCATAGACGGACAGAAGGAAAAACACACGGACAAACAATCATAGGAAAACCAATCTATCCCCTCCTTTGGTGTGATGATATAACAATTCGCATGAAGCCAACTTCAAATGTCTATTCATACATTCGAGGTTGATACTGTCTACTTGGTAGTGTTCTCAACTTTTGTCCTGCTCGTTCAAATCAATAACTATTGACTGGAGTTCTTTATGACTCGGCTTTTCTCCTGGTACATGTTGAAATCAATCACAGAAGAAATGCATGCAGTGTTGGTGATAGATTGTGTTTAATTCGATCAGGCCAGTACTTGTGAATTGTGGAAGTGATTGTACAAGTCTATGTTAGTCATACAGTTGTTTTCCATTCGTTTGATGTGTTTGAGCTTTTGATTTTGCTATTTGTTAAGGGACATTCCGTTTTGAATTTTCATTGGTTCGGTATTTGTGTTATTTCACTTTTTGGTCATACAGCTCTTCAAATGTGTCGGTTCTTATACATCCTTCTCTTTCAAATAGGATTTTTTTTAATTTCAATAGAGAGCTACATACGTATTTGGTGCATGAACGTGTGGAATTATAATCAAACTAGACGAAGGACAGAGCTGGATATGGTTTAGATACTTGCAATCGTTTGAGATCGCATGCTTATTCTGAATGTCTATATTTGTGGAACCGTTTGTTGGCCTATATATCTACTGTTGCCTAACATCTGCTTTTAACCATTACACCATATAGTCATACATTAAAATATTTGCAGCTTCATGTTACAAATCCCTGTTCATATTTTCACATACTTTATGACATTCTTTATTTAGCGAATCAGTCAAAAAGATACACAAAAACAAAAGCAAAATAGAAAGAAACAGAGGAAACTAAAAATTGAAGCATCTTGATATTGATGTAACGTGTCAAAATTTTGTTTGCTCTGGCTAGTATTTTCAAATTGTTTTTCTGGTTCGTTTTTGTTAATGTGGTTGTCTGGCTTTCGTTTGTAAAAACAAAATTACTCTTGCTAGCGTGTTCATAACCATATTTAGTCGATAGTCGTTTGTATAATTGTTCAAAAGTCAATAATGTTGTATGTTTTAAATTCAGGAAAAAGAATGGCTAACGTTTATTTATTTCAATCAGTTTGTATAATTCTAATACAACTTTTATTTAGGAAAAACAACATGCGTGACGGAGGACCTTCTGCATATGATTTTGAGAAATGGACCTACTTTAAAAGATGGTGAGTAAACCTTAAAACTATGACAATATCAGCGTTGCCTATAATCATGAACTCAAGAACAATATTCCTATTGGAAACATCGTAATGATAAAATTGTGTTCGTGATTTTTTTATGCTTTTATTCTTCCAAATGTTTAGATTCGAGCACAACTGATGAGTCTTATGAAAAAAAAACCCGCGGCTGATGTACTGAAATTTCAAGCCGTTACCATTTGGTTTATTTTCACACTAAAAACTGTTTAGTATCATAATCATAACTTCCAAACAATCTTATTCATTTACTGAACAAAAATTATAACGTTGTCCAAATAAACACACCCTTGTCCTTTGGTCTTTAATTTGGTGGATAGTTGGTTATCATACAACATCTCATTATTTCACTGTTTGAGAAATGATCATAGCAAAAAAACAATTAACCACAAATCTTTATTTCTTGTATTAGTGTTAGAAGTAAACAATTGCGGTAAATAATCATTGCTAAGTTAAGTAATGAGAGGTACGAACGATTTAATGTAGCACCAATTAAAACGCCTGAACGAAGCACACTGTGCAGAAATCTAACCAATTTTGAGATGTTTACCTAGTCGATCTCTATCTTTATTTCAAATCTAAAATACGTTGTTAACACGTTGTTAGGAAAAAAGTTACTTTATAATAATAGCAAGTAAAACCAAAAAAGCTTTTACTCATTTTAACATTAACTATAAAAATTTTACAGCACAAGATGCGAATTTTTGTCAATTATGTTCTCTTAAGTGATGCTCGAGGCCAAAATTTTTAAATTGTAAACCTAATTCTAATGTTGAAGAGCTGACTTTAATGAGTAAATAAACCATATGAGCTTCTGAATTTGTGAATCCTTGTCACATTTCATCTGTTAACAAAGGAATAAACTCAAACAACAGACATACTCTTCAAATATATTTTAACAACATCTCGAAAAAAAAACCGAATAACACGAATGTGCACCAATGAAAAAGGATTATGATAGACATTTTTTTAATTTTTAGATCTCGAACGAAGACCAACATTTTTTGCATCACTAAAAACATCTCAGCAAACTCTATCTAATATTAAAGATATTGTGAAGTTTGATGACGCAAAGATCAATATTGGAGGTGGATACGACTCTACAACTGGAATATTTACTTCTCCTCGGAATGGTATCTACATACTCTCCTGTACTATTATGGGTAATGCTGGCGGTGCACTTCATTTCCAGCTAAATAAGAACGACCAGTTATATACAGCAGGGTTTGTCGCTAAATCGAACTATGGAGCTCAAACGGTAAACTGTCTCGCCGAGCTAAGGACAGGAGATAAAGTGTATGTTAAACACAGATCTAGCACATCTGAGAACGTACGTGGAAGACACTTCTCTACATTTTCCGGTTATCTTTTGTCTAAGTAATAAAATTCACTGTTCTCAATATTCTATTCTATAAATTTTTAGAACAAATCTGTTGTCCTTTTTATTAGATATCTTCTTGGTAAATCAGTCTCATGATCATCGAATAAAAAAATGAACAATGATTAAAAGTTTTAATATTTCATGTTTTAGCGATTGATACCTTTCCTACCGTTATTTGGTTCAATAAAGGCATAGACCGGAACTGCAGTTTATATGCAATATGTTAGCTCTACTTATACATTTTTGTAATAGCGTCTTAACAGGCTCTATAATTAGTCACATTTTGTATGTGTCAGAGTGTTCTATTGAAGTCTGTGATTTGATAACTTTCACAAAAAAATTGAAGAGTGTGATGATATACATTCCACGAGTGCCCTGTTTGAAGGAAACTGTTTTTCTTCTGAATCTTACTGAAATAAATATGTAACCATCATAAATTCTTGGTTATTCACTATTGGTCATAACAGACAAATTCGCAAACAATAAAATGAAATTAAGGATACCACTTATTTTTAATATGAGCATTTCGTCTGTTGTTGTGATATAAATGTCGATAACTCAGAATTAATTATGGCAAGTTTTAATTTTATGAAATTTTATTTACTTTAAAATGTTTGTTTCATGATGTAAGCAGAATCAGGAGCTTACCCTTCTGTAGCACCTGAGAGATTACCCCTGATTGTTGGTGGGTTTTGTGTTGCTCCGTCTTAGTTTTCTATGTTGTGTGCGAAACTGTTGTTTGCCGTTTAATCATTTTTTGTTTTTGCCATGGCAGTTCGTTTTCGACTTCTGCAGTTTGACTATCCCTTTAAATCTTCTGCCTCTCTTCTAAGGATTCAGACCTTATGAAACTCATCATGAGATTTAGAGTAAAATATACTGCACTTTGTTTAAAAAAAAAAAATCATATTCGCATTGGTGTGATTCCATACTTCAAACAACGTTTTCATGATTAATATTAAACTGTATTTGATGTCTCTGGTATAACAATAAAGCCTAACTCTTTTGTTA